CGGGCTAGATCTCCACTGGTAACTGATGCTGAGCGGCGTAACCTGCCCCGGACGCAGGTTAGGTTGCAGGCTAAGAGACTCAACTCAGTGAAAGCACTGCCTGCTGACCAATCAGAGCTCAGTGTGCGGAGTTTAAAGCGATCAAGTCATATTACAGGAGAAAGGAAATACAGAAAAGCTGCCGTCGCAGGAAAGACGGCCGGCAAAAATCACCGACTGTGTGAACGTGAACATTAATTAGACCCTCCAGAAAAACGCGATTCTGCGATCGCAGAATTTACCGCATAATCAGCAAAATGGCGCAGATTTTTAAAAGGCCGCATAATCCCCGCATTTTTCCACACAAAGTTGAGAAAAAAAAAAGTGAACTCGTCTTGACGTCATCAGCTCGCTCATCACAGAATGTAAACAACACTGTATAGAGTGAACGTGTGGAGCTCACACGATAGAGAAAACACCAAGATGAAAATATCTAATCCATCTCATTTACCGACGAACATTTCTTCTAAAGACCGGGCAAAAAGTGGGGGGAAACTATTCTGCACCCCGTGCAACTGTGTGTTGGAGCATAAGAGAAAATTGACGGTGACGACCCCCTTTGATTCATTCAAACATTCGAAAATGCTTTCTGCTGCTGCGGACAAGAAAGCCAAACAACTCACGTTCACCGAGGCATCAACCTCCAAAACCCTTTAGAGGGCTACAAGAAACGAAGTGAGTAGCCTACAAGATTGAAGCTGCAGATAACGAACGAGTAAATGAAAACAGAATGAGGCGGAGAAGTGTGTGTGGGGGGTGTGTGTGTGTGTGTGTGTGTGTGTGTGTGTGTGTGTGTGTGTGTGTGTGTGTGTGTGTGTGTGTGTGTGTGTGTGTGTGTGTGTGTGTGTGTGCGTGAGATTAAAATAGCCCAATTGCTTTTACAATAAACATTGAATGTGTTTAATTGAATAGTAAAGGGGTTTAACGTTAGTGGCAGGGTGTGTGTGAGAGAGAATAAATAAGACAGCCCGATATTTTAAAAAAAATCGATAATTTTTTCCGCATATTTCGCAACTTCCCGCAGTTTCACCGCATAAAATCACATAAAACCTGTTAAACGCATGTTTAATCGCATAATAAAGGATTTTTGCCCGCGTTTTTCTGGAGGGTCTAATATAATACCCTGTAGTTTGAAATATAATGAATTGTAGTTAGCCATATACTCATTAAGATAAGAAGTACTTTATTTATTCTGATTCTGAGGTGGGCTGGAGGAGGCTTTATTCTGGTCCAAATGTGACTCGTTTTCTTGCAGGTTTTTGATGCATTCTCTTCATTTTCAGATCCGAATCTGAATTACTTTATTCGTCCCGCAACAGGGGGACATGTACATTACTACAACAGCAGAAATAGAATGCATTGCCCAGGCGTGAATATGCAGAATCAGAATACCTTTATTCCTCTTTATTGCACACAGTTTTGTATCTACAGGCATTGTTATTGCACTTCATGGGTATTACACTATATGTCTTTTACAGTTTGAGAGTAAAGATAATCAGATGACTTAAGATATATTGTCTTCGTTCAGCTGAGTTCAGTATCTGGACCCGAGAGGCCGGAGCTGGAGGTCTGTCCATCGCAGTGGAGGGACCGAGCAAAGCAGAGATCACCTTCGAGGACAGGAAGGACGGATCCTGTGGCGTGGCGTACGTGGTTCAGGAACCTGGTGAGACTCTAAAACAAACGTTAGCTTTTTAAGAAAATGGTGGAGATTATCCTGCTGATGTTTACCTTCTCTCTGCAGGTGACTATGAGGTCTCCATTAAGTTTAACGATGAACACATCCCAGACTCTCCGTTCATCGTCCCGATCGCCACGCTGTCTGACGACGCTCGCCGCCTCTCCATCACCAGCCTGCAGGTGGGAACAAGTTACCTCCATTAAAGGTCTCCTATTATACTATTTTTAGGTATTCTCAGATATATAAAACCATGTCTCTGAAGTGTTTTGCTCAAAATACCAAATAGATCATTCCAGCCTCATCCCCCTCTATTCCAGCTGTTACTAAAGAGATGATTCTGGGTCTGTAGATCAAAAATAAAAATAAAAACACATTTTAGTAATGTGGTCATGACGCAGCAAATCTACGATACGATACGATATTACTTTATTTGTCAGATCAAGTCTGAAATTTGACTTGCGTCACAGCAGCTCTGTTGTTCCCCCGATTTTAGAGATGTGGGTACAGAGGGAAAAGAGAGAGGGTTTTATTTTCTGACACTTTGTGAGTCTCCTGACACACCGGGGACACACCGGGGACACACCGGGGACACATGGTGATGTAGAAGAGACATAAAAACGTGCATTTTGCATGATAGAAAACCTTTAATTCAAATACAACAACCAGCTTCAGTACTTTAAGTTTAACAATGTATTAATTGTTGTGTTTATTCCCAGGAGATGGGTCTGAAGGTGGGTCAGGAGGCGTCCTTCGCTGTGCAACTGAATGGAGTGAGAGGCCTGATCGACGCTAAGATCCACACGCCGTCCGGAGCCATCGAGGAGTGCTTCATCACGGAGCTGGAAAACGGTACCACACGCACTCTGTCATCAACTAGAGTTACATCTGTCCTGTGGAAGGATTTTATGTACAAACATGGAAGCCAAAAGGTTTGGTTAGGCAAAGATTAATAATAATGTTCCCCGTGGAGTTCCACAAGGCTCTTATCTGGGTCCTTTTCTTTTCTATGTCAAAGTTTTCTTAAAATATGGCGATCCTCAAGGCACAAGCCTGGTCCCACTCGTTGTTTCAGTTTAATATGAGTTATTTCTACCCGTCATGAAATCATGAACAAAATAATTATGTTCATTTCTATGCAGATGACACCCAACTCTACTGAGCTTGAGATTTGTATGATTCCTGATATCTTCATGACTTAAAAAACCTGAAATGTGGACATCTACAGGACCCAGAAATTCCTGTAATTAAATCTAGACAATCAAGCGATTTGCAGATGATACACAACTCTATTTAGCTTTTGATTTTTATGATTCAAGCCTTCTTTACGGCTTTAAAAACTGAAATGATGATGTCTACAGAACCCAAAATGTCCTGCAATGTAACCTTGACATACAGAGATCTCAAGAATTGGAGAGAATACCTTTCAAAACTATTTAAAACACTTGAAGCAAAACATTTAACCAATGTGGGCTGATTTACTGTTGATGGACTTATTCCACAGACCAGCACGCTATCCGGTTCATCCCGAGGGAAAACGGAGTTCATTCTATCGACGTTCGTTTCAACGGCAGCCACGTTCCCGGCAGTCCGTTTAAGATCCGAGTGGGAGAGCAAGGACAGGTCGGAGATCCCGGCATGGTGTCCGCCTTCGGTCCGGGACTGGAGGGAGGAACCACAGGTAAACACAACGAGTAAACACCTTGTAAAAACACTCGACTGCAGATTAACGCTAGTCTGTCACAAGGACAGAAAACATTCTGCCTCTGTCTGGAAGAGAACTCTCTGCTACACTGGACAACTGGACTTAAACTCACATTGTACATTTTATATTCAATTGTATTTCACATTCCATTCCTTACACACTTAATGTATATATAATATCCTGCTTTTTATTTTGTTTACTGTAAATGTGTCTTTCAACATCTATATTTTCTACTTTTTTTAAAGCTATGTTTTTTCTATTTGAGTCGTTTACATTCAGGATTGTTTATTTCTAGTCTTTTAATTTCTCCAATGTTCAATGCCTTGTCTTTTTATGCTGCTGCAACGCAGACATTTCAAACATTGGGATCAATAAAGTACTTCTGATCTTATCTT